CCCAACATTTCCCTTCACTACTCTGCTCCTATTGATTGTAGCGTGATGAAAAGTATACTATAACCTGCCCAGGAGTATGAAGAATAATTGTACCAAGTTTCGTTAAAATCCGTCGAGTAGTTTTTGTTTCTATAAGGAACAAACACACAGACAGACAGACAGACAGACAAAAAATTTACTGATTGCATTTTTGGCATCAGTATCGATCACAAATCACCCCCTGATAGTTTTTTTAAAAATATATTTCATGTACAGAATTGACATCTCTACAGATTTATTATAAGTATAGATATGTGTGTGTGAGTTTTGTCTTAGTCTGTGGGATGCGTGCATGCAGCTCTTCCCGACGATCATGAAAGTTGGAGGGTAACTCGGCGAATGCTGAAACGCTACAAGCGTCACAATATATTATTATATGAATGATGCGTGCGCTGCTCCATTGCCCTATGCCTTATGCACCGCCTAATGTTAGGTTATTGAAGAAAAGAGGTTTCACTTCAGATATGTGGTCCGTGCACCCTTTTTTTGAAGTTATACTTCTTTAGGCGCGTTATGAAAAAATGATGAGAGTGAAATTTTAAGATGCGCGCGCATCACTGTAACACAAAATTTTAACAGCATGAAGTTGGTCGACCGACCAACTTCATGCTGTTACTTTTGTGTTTACCGCACATTAAGAAAATCTACCAACAAAATAGAAATAGAATCTCTATTTAGTGGGTGCTAACGACTGCATTGTGAAAGCCTATCAAAAGTATTTATTAATCTGCAACAACGGAACCAAAGCGCGATTCAGGAGACTACAGCGCCATCTCTTGACCATTGGTGTAGTAGAACCAAAAACCACATCTTTATTTTTTGTAATAAAGTAACAGTTATAGGTATTCATATTTATAATATTTATCCACATGTTTCTAGTTTGTATATTCGGAATACGTGTTTGAGTTTCATACAAGTGCAAATCACATATGTTCTAATAAATTATATTCAGTAGTGATTTTAATTGAATATATTTTTATTATTTATTTATTTTTTCAAATTAAAACTGAACTTTATTGACTGTGCCCTTTTCCAGACTTTTTATTAATTTATTGTCATTAATTATTTGCATGCAATTAAAAACTAATTTTAAACGATGCCAAAGAAGGATAACTTCTCACGCGCCTACATAAGTACACGCACCCATTTTTTTGAAGTGATAACTTCTTTACCGGCGTTGTACACTTTTTTTGTATCGGTAAAATATGTTAAACTCGCGTCCGGTTAAACACGTGGGCTGATCGCATCATGACACAATAAAAATGGAAAGGTTGTTGACTTTCAATATATTGGACGAAACATAGTAATATTTTATTTTACCTTATTATAATAATTAGTCTTTATCTAGGACGTCCACGTGGCAGCTTTATTGCGAAAAAAATGCATTTTTTACAATAGATGTCGCTAGGTGCGCTTTAATGTGATTCAAGTAAGTTGATTTCTTTACAATAGATGTCGCTAAGTGCGCTTAAACGTGATTCATGTAAGTTGATTTTTCTGAGAGATAAACTTTTTTAATGTAATATAAATTGTCATGTTTGTGTACGATAGCGCAATTTATAAGAATTATATTCTACCACATACATGATATTACTTTTATAATGAACATTAAAGCAATTCGTGCAAAATTATTCCCTAACCATTCCAAAATATCAAAAAGCATCTTCTCTTAATTTTTTTAAGTTTTCTTTCATAAGTCTCTTGCTTATTTTCTAATCCAGAAATGTCGTTATATGTCCTTTTCATTTCTATATATTAATGAATTCCATTCGTATCGCAAAATTTTGTCTGGCTTCTTAAAATATTCATATTCTCAGTTATTAGGTAAAAGTTATAAAGTTATAAAATTTTAACAGTTAGGTCTAGGAAATGTTTACCTTTCTAACTCAATAAAAATAAATGTTGTTACTCCTAATAAAGACTCATATAAATAAACTTTTTATGTTAATTATATAATAATCATATGTAACAAACGTGAACATAATGCAATTAACTATCACTTGACTTAATGGACTAATAACATTTTGTGCTATGATCTAACTCATGTTTTTAGGTTATAAGAGTACGTCTGAGAAATATTCGATCTTACTAAGGCCGTGTTGTTTCATCGATACTAAATTTAAATCCCATAAAAAATAACCATTTGTCAACATTGTGTGACACATTCACCACAGTAGTATTTATTTGACGTGACAGTTAACATCACATCACACACACACACACACACACACACACACACACACACACACACACACACACACACACACACACACACACACACACACACACACACATACACACACACACACACACACACACACACACACACATAGTCAAATTTAAATTACACAACCGTCTAGTGACTTCTATTCGCCCCACGAGAACGACTAACTAGACCCGAGGTCTGAGTGTCAGGGACGCCCTCAAGTTGAGCCGACCCCCTCAGATTCGAGTCTAGAGGCTGCAGACGGAGAGGAGACTCCCCCCGTGAGGAGAAGCCATCCGCCTGGAATACCTCTAGCCAATTCTCGGCTTTAGGTTCCATTAGGATCTCGCCTACCGTCCTAGCGTGACGTCGTAAAGGTCATCGGCGACCAACAGCATACACACTCAAAAAAAACTTCTATTCAAAAGATTGACGAATTGGACGCGACCAAAACTCATCGCAGATTGATGAAAAGATTTTTTTTGCTGCTCTGGACGTTTGACGCTTTTCAAAAGAGTTCAGCTATGGTGGACGTATTTCAAAAGGTGCTAGTTAGCGCTCCTTGTGTTATTCTGTCGCTTTTGAGTAAATCCCAAATTTCCCCGCTTGGGCTCCAGCAATATAACTGTCTCTTAAGGAGCGGCACATGTAATCCAGATAAACGAGGCAGAGGATACCATAATATCCATCCACGCGGTCCCAATTTTCGCGCCTAATGACTGCAAATGTAGTAGAAACCAACGCATACTCGTATCTTCTGAACCAATGAGAAGCTCAATATGAGGAATCACGAAAATTGCTATCTATCTACAATAGCCCAAATTTTTGCAAAACGAACAAAAACTTGTTAAGCTTAAACAAGCTTCTTAAAACACCATAAAACACTCATCGTCAAAGACATAAAGACATACGTGCCTCAGCAATATGAGGGCAAGGTGATCAAATTACCTATGAATTTGATAGCAACACGTAAAAACCCCATTGAAAAAATGTTCGCACTTATTATTTCAAAACCATTAAGGTCCAGGGTTCTTTTCGTAGTATACATGGACTGAATTATGAAAGATTAACAGGATCTGAATTTGTGCAACGCGGATCGAAAGTATGGAGACGGCTTCTGTTATTCAGTTGCAGGTAACATTTTGTACACCGTTGAGTAAAATTTACAATAAATATACTTTGATTCAAATAATTTTATTAATAATGGTGAAAATAAAATATATTCAGATAAAATATATATAGAGATTAAAACAAAATAAATATAAATAAATAATAAATACTTCCAACACTCACACCAATTAGCCTAGCCCCAAAGTAAGCACGATAAGGCTTGTATTATGGGATACCAGAGTAACGGATAGAATACATATACTGTACATTTATAAGTATATTTATATAGAATAACATATTAAACAGCCATGACTGGAGTACAAATTCTCGTATTAATCACACAAACATCTGCAACACAAGGATTCGAACCCGGGACCTCTCGAGTCGGCGACACCATGAAACCCTGCGTACAAACCACTCGGCCACGGAGGTCGTCAGTCAAATAGAACAGTATTGTGTAATTGATAGAATGTTACTCTCAGATATGGAGGCAGCGGGCCGAAAACCTGAACATTGTACTTTAATTATACAGATACAAAGTTAACACGTAATAAAGTGACAATGATGTTTGCAGACACAGGAGCATGAAACGCTTCACTCTTACAAAGTAATGAAATATGTACCTGACAATACTCCGTAGACTCGATGGCGCAAGTGGTTAGCGCGTTCCGCTGCGATCGTTGAATTTAAGCAACTTTCGCAGTGGTCGGTCATTGGATGGGTGACCGAAACTTTACTATCTCGAGCTCCTCCGTGCTTCGGAAGGCACGTTAAGCCGTTGGTCCCGGCTGCATCTGCAGTCGTTAGCACCCACCAACCCGCACTGGGCCCGCGTGGTGGGTCATGGCCCAATCTGCCTATTCCATCCATAGGGAAGGCCTGTGCCCCAGTAGTGGGGACATTAATAGACTGATGATGATGATGATGATGATGATTGGCCCGTGAAGTACCAAGCGGGCTCAGTACGGATTGGTGCTAACGACTGCAGATGCTGCCGGGACCAACACCTTAACATGCCTTCCGAAGCACGGAGAGGCTCGAGATAATAAGTTTTTGGTCACCCATCCAATGACCAGCCATTGCGAAAGTTGCTTATCTTTCACGATCGCAGGCTGAACGCGCTAACCATCTGCGCCATCAATCACTTCAAAATAATCATATTATAATGTTAAGTACCTACATAATAAAAATAAATCAAACTTAAAAAAAAACTTTCTTGGGACGATTCAGCAACACGACTTTCATTTGAAACCTGGCTTACGTAAAAATGTAATAATACTTAAAAGTCTCACTCCACACTATGATAGCCTCACGAACATCGACTGGGATATCCCAAGTTGCGTTAAATTCATTGAAAACCTAACTATAAACTATGAAGTATGCTTGAAACGTTATCTTATTACCGTGTCTCAAAGCTTATTTTACTTTGAAAACAATTCAATTGGAAGCCTCTCTCGACAGTGGTTCTAAATTTGATAAGTAGTACATTGGAAATATTGCTTAATTATGCTGTAGTTAGAGTCGAATGTCGCGTATCGCATCAACTTAAGGTACGATTGATACAATACGGATCTCAGTCAGTTTATGCAATTCTTATGTTGTTATTATATAAGCTGGTTTTCCGTCGGTGAGTCCATTTAAGTTAGTGTTGTTGAGTGCATTGAACGTGAACTCGAGTGCACATCAAGTTATCTAAGTGAAGTTAGGTAAGCGATTGACACCAACAATGTTGTGGAAAATAAATCGGAATTCGAATAATTGTGATAAATTCTCTTCGAATATATTGTTTAATAGAATATAAGTTATAAGTGCCTTGATAACATATAAAGTAAAATTAAAATAAAATAAAGTAAAGTTTATAAAAATCTTCCAATGAAATGACCGAACGCTCAATATAAATCTTTCGAAGGTAGCTCGACAACTATAAAATCATGATTCAGACGACGCGTCCTGTAAAGGACGAAACGTCAATAAATAAATCAGTACATCTATACCGTTGAAACTTGTTCAAAGTATAGTCATTAAGCAAACCGAGGTCCCGAATTCAATCCTCAATCGAGGTTTTCGTCGTTTATTGCTTAATCTATTTATAGAAGAAATAATACAAATAAGTTTAAGCCAACAATATAAAATACGAATATACACACAATATTCAAAACTTAAATTAAAAATTATAATTTCTGAAAAAGTTGTTTTTAACAGCAAATTGTTCTTGATGAAATATCAACGTTTTATAGAATTGTTTTTGTTTTTTTTTTGTCAAATGTAAATTATTACTTCAACATTGATTACATTATTAAATGTTTAAAAAAAAGATGTTATGCAGTGTTGTTGGTGGAAACGATACGATACAATACTCGAAAATGTTTTATTTAATAAAGCTATTCTCAATTCGTATTTTAAATAGAACAGCATACTAAATTTTTACATAACATTCTTTTTTTTCTTTAGCCCAGAGTATGAATTAGGTTTCTCTTTATCTGGCAGAATTTGTTGCTCCGATATTCATTTGGCATTTAACACCTAACACGGTTTTATTTTTGTGTTAATTTAATCATTGTTCGACCGAATGTTTATATGTCCGAGTTCACAATGGCATACTTTTAAGATCGCTGAATTTTATTAGACATATTTTTTAGCAAAATTTTACTCTTCATTATTACGCTAAGAAAAATCGATGTTGTTGGTCCATAGGTTAGGTTAGTGTTTTGAGCTTTGTTTAGCGCGAGCCAAGCGAGCAAAGCGAGCGTGCCACGGCAGCGGCCGGCCATCTGATATAATAAAACATAATAGATAAATAAAACACGTTAAAGTTTTTGTATGCTAAAAACCGATTCTGATTGAGAACTGTCTGCGAATATGATTATGCTTCTGCGTTTTAATTATTGTGGATATTAAATTAATGCCTAAATATAATTCTAGCTTACAAATAAGCTTTCAAATATCTTTCAAATGAATGAATGCCATATGATTTATTGCGAAATGATATTTATGCCTTCCTCTGATACGCATAATATTAAAAAAAACTGCAATACAATGTAGACTCTAATGAAGAATGTACTAATATTTAAATTAAGAATCTTTTGCCAACTGTTATTGTTAGAAAACAAAGTTTTTTTAAAATACTATTGCAAAGACGCCTTCTTTCAAATAGTATGTATGATGAAAAGAGTTCATTTGTATAACAGTTTTTGGAAGTGGGTCAACATACCCATAATGAATGGACCTCACATATTAAACTCCAGTCATGATGACAATGGAGAAAGTGTCTGTGTCCTCGCAGCAGACAGGTAACTTTAGGTCAAGATGGCGGCCGAGCTACAGTTTTAGTGACATAATTCGTATGTCAACTGTTACTGTATGTACTAGATTCAGCCAAAACATATCTAGGGGTTATTTCGTCATCATCATTATCCTAGTTAAGGTTCCTGCTGGGGCACTGGCCTTCTCTAAGAATGGAATAGAGAAATCAGACCATGCCATTGAAGTTACCCAGTTACTTAATAAAAGAACTGACAAGTTGAATACTTATATTATGCCGTTTGGTCGAATGACAAGTTAGTCTAGATTCAGGCTATATATTTTTCAGTTCACAAAATTCAGACAGTTCGAAAATGTTTTCAAAGGAAAGTCACAAAAAGAAAGATCATAGTCGAACTTTGATCCTTGAAATTTGGCTCTATGTCGTCAACCCCAAGGTTGAATTTCCAATAACTACGTGATCTCAGGCTAAAAAACCACAGGTGTGTAATATCAAAAGAAATATAGGACTTTTCAAACGTAGCCGGCGTTACTTTGGAAAAATATTCTGTTACATGAATGTGTGAAATTCTGAATGATAAATGTTAGAATTAGAACTTAATGAAACGATTTCTTTAATTGTTATCATCATAATGTTCAATTAAAGAATATCTACTGTAATCAGAGTCCTATTAAGCTCTCATTTTATTATTTACGCAAAGTTCATGTTTGGATTTTGTGATAGAGATCTGTGCGGAAAGAGAATGAGTGTGGCGAAAAACGGAACTAACATTAAGTTTTTTATTTGGCAATCAAACCCAGCAATCTGTAAAACGTCAAAGTTTTGTATTGATACGGATTTGTTTGTTGTTGTGATTTCTTGCGGTTTTTTGTATTTAATCATGTCGAAAAGAATAAAAACCTTACAAATACGGTAGAAAAGCAATACAGCGCCCTCCAATCTAAATCCCATTCTCTTTCCGCACAGACTCTATCTACTTTTGATTGGTGCATTAAAAGCCTAGAGGTATGTGAATAGAGTAGGGGAGGTATGTACTCTACAACTAGTGGAAGTGTCCATCTAGTAGAAAGAGAAAGAAGATGAGGGACGGCTAGCTATCTCTCTCTCTCTTGTGATGCTGCGCAGTCGTGTGATTGGTCGGTATTGCTGCGCAGTCGTGTGATTGGTCGGTATTCATCCGTAGGTTTTTCATCCAATGCGCATTCGCGATTAGAGAGAGAAAGGCTAGCCGTCTCTCATGTGCTTTCTCTTTCTACTATTAAAGATTCTGTATGATTAAAAGTGCTCATACATTTTGTAGGTTGTAACGGTTTGCAACCGTTGGTTTTGTACTTTTTTATTACCGAAAGTTTTCTATCGGTCCGTTCAAAAGCAATTGCCATCGTTGGAGACAGTTCAAAAGATTCACTTGCTATTAGATTATTTTGATTTGGTTATTGGCGTATTTCATATAGATTTTATTAATTTGATTATTTGATTAATTAATGTAGTTTGTACAATTGATTGGATTAATGAAGTTCCATTAATTTCCAGGGAACTTTTTAAGGGTTCCATCCCTAAAGGGTAAAAACGGACACATTGACAAAACTCCGGTCTCTAAAACTTTAAGTTGTAATCAAAATGTTCTATAAATTAAAAAAAAATAGGTAGGTTAGGTAAATTGTTAAAAGTTATTCCCTAGAAATGGTGGTTTCAAGGATCACCCCAGGGGACTGTTTCCCCGAAAAGCACTTCACTATTAATAAGGATTCATAGCATTATGAAGTACGTGTCTAGCCCAATTTGAAGGCAAATAGAGCGACCGTTATCATCGCACGTAACTCAAGCGCAACTCTCTCGGCGGCAGTGAACGCGCGCTCGCCGTGCTTCTTGCTCGCACGCATACGGCCGCCATGTTTTTAATCGCGTCAAAAACGTTTGTTGTTCCATTTCGCGAGTTTTAAAAGGTTTAAACGTGATTTCTTTTTTTGTAAAGTCTTGACTGAAAAATATGATTGTGCTTTTATGTTTGCTTCCTTTGATTGGTTTAATAAAATAGTTTGGCTATATAAAGTGCTTACTTATTACGAACTTTCTAATGAATCAATCTGTATCTACGCATATTTTTTGTAATTTTAATTAGTTAAAAACTTGTCGAAGGATATGATTTGACAGTTGACACTCTTATAAAAAGTCAATTTACTTTTAGGTTTGTCTAAAATAGAAATGTTGCTAATTTCTATACGATAAAAATAGAATAGAGACAGCACGTGACTTAATCAAGCGTCAAATTGTTTTAACGTTTATAAGTGAGACTCTAAGAGCAGTAATTCGCATGGCATGTGTATTCAATACAATGACTTCCACTTTGCTAGAAGTGACAATGTGGTTTCAAATTCGAATTCTTTTTCCTTAAGTGTAAGAAGCGCTCTAATAAGCGTGACGAACTTTTTTCGCTTACACATGAGTTGAAAACATAATCTTCTCAGGCAGCTTCGTAATAAAATATGTTTTTTTTATTCAATATAAATCAAAGTAAATTTTTATACATATTAATTATATTAGAGGTTCAAATGCAGCTTAAATATGATTTAAGAGGGCCTACGACAAATATAACGAAGAGCTATATTTGGTGATTTATATTACCTCTCTGGAGATTATCACCATATATAGGGATTTTGTTTAAAAAAGAACATTTTATAATAACTAAACTACATAAAAAGAAAAAAAAATACTAACTAAACTGTAATATCACTGAGGGGTATAGGCCTTCCTTATACATGGAAAACGGAGATTGGGCCATGACCCATCACGCGTAGGTCCTGTTAGGATACATCGTACGTATGCAGCCAGTACCAATGGATTAACATTGTACCGTAGCAAGCAGGAGCTCGAAATAATAAATTGCTGCAACGTCATATATGAACCTTCGCCCTACAGATCAAGCGCATTACGAGCTTATCTATATAAAATTTACAACCATCTTCTACTATAATTAATTTAGATTTATTGACATCTTGCAGGCTTTAAACAGCGTCAAAGATGCTCCATCAAGCACGTTGGTTGATGCTGCTCATCGCAGCAGCCCTCGCATTGCAGTCACGAGGTGAAGGCGGGATTAGGCTACCAGACCAACCGCCCAAGGAAGAAACCCAGGGGAGATCGTTGAGCTTCGGTGCTGATGACAGGGGACGATCGGTAAGGGAACACTCTCTAATGACAGAGGCTTAAGGCGACAGGGACTGCAGACTCATCAGCGTGTCATAGGGAATGCTTAGTTATTAGGAATTAGTCTTCCAAAACAATCGCCCAAGAAAGAAACCCAGGGGAGTTAGTTGAGCTCCGGTGCTGGTGATAGGGGACGAAGGAACATTCAATATCCTATCCTAAGATGTTTTAATAGTTATAGATACATCATACACGCTTCTAATTTTGCCAAAATTTAGACATGAAATGTATGGAACTTATGTCTTAAAACAATTTTTGTTGTCGTGTAACTGTGTGACTGAGGATTTTCTGTTTATCCATCAATACTGATGAAATTTACTGACGGCTGCATCAGCGTAGAATAGGCGCCTAAAAGATTGATATTGAAGTTAATGTAGGTATATCATTATCACAATAAATCACTTTATAAAGTACCCATAATAAGGGAAGAAACTTGTACACGCCCATATTATTAAAATTTCAAATATATCTTTAATATTTAGCTTAAGGGCGTTCTATTGTTAACATCGGTAAACATCGAAAAGTATGGTGAAGCTCAGACAATGCAGTGTAACTTAATATCAACATTGTTGCTTCTTTCATTAACAAAATGGAAATTCACGTAACTAAGAATATTCTCCTCGTACCTACAGCAAAGTTCCTTTTTTATGTATTGTTTCAAAATATTATATTTCATACTTCCAGTTTTTGTGCCAAAATATTTTCTTATTCACTTGATTGAACAAATAATTATTATGAGTTATTAATTTAAATATATTCTTGAGCAGGTAAATTAGTAATTAATATAATTACTCCACAAGCCTACTGATTTTACTGTTATATGAAAATATTTAGGAAAATTATAAACGTTATCAGTTTCGTAATATACTCGATGGATATACTTTTTAAGGTTTACCTCAATCGGCACGGAACAAAAACGGAACCCTTATAGGATCACTTGCTTATCTGTCTATCTTTCTGTCACATTCTATTTTCTCGGAATCTACTGGACCGATCACGTTAAAATTTAGTACATAAATGTATATCTTTGATCTCAACACGGACAAGTAAAGTTAATAAACAAACTCTGAAAATGAGGATTTCTATTTGACGATGAATTATAACATTTGATTTAAAAATTCTGCTAACTGTACCCTGTTGTATAAAATAAAATGGCTCAATGTGAAGGTGTCAAATATATTTTTATACAAATTTAAAATGAATAGTGAAATAATTATTTAAGACAATAAATGATAATTGACCTGTCTACCCTCCTTATCTCCGAAACCACTGCGTTTAAACATTTGAACATAAAAAAGGAATATAGGGAACATCGCTCTTTGCTTGTGTAGATTACAGGAAACTCTTTAAGAAGTCGATAGTAATTAAAATAAAATAATTATTAAAGGGGGCTCTGATACAACAGACGTGATTTTTGCCGCTCTTTGCTTGATACTGTTAAACAATGTCTAATCTTGCATAGATACTCGTAAATGGTACACAACCCTTCATGTGCAAGACCCGACTCGCACTTGACCTGTTTTTTTTTAAGTGAAAACTTCTTTGGCGCCGTTGTACACTTTTTTTTGTATGGGTAAAAAATGTTAAACTCGCGTCAGGTTAAACACATGGGCTGATCGCATCATGACACACAATAAAATTGGAAAGGTTGGTGACTTTCAATATATTGGACGAAACATAGTAATATTTTATTTTACCGTAAACTTAACCAAATTTGTCATGAATTAATAACTATGTTCAGAGAATTAATCTCGATGACGATACTCAGTCTTGTTTTTTTTCATTTGCTGTTATGATCGAAGAAGTTGTAGTGATAATAATGTTCAATAAGTTTGTTCTAAGGAAGATGACTGAATGATTAGTTAGATGATAGTGATTGTAAATATGAAAAAGCTTGGACATTATATTTTTACCGTATTATAATAGTAAGTCTCTATCTAAGATGTCCACGTGGCAGCTTTATTGCGAAGAAAATGCATTTTTTTACAATAGATGTCGCTAGGTGCGCTTAAATATGATTCATGTAAGTTGATTTCTTTACAATAGATGTCGCTAAGTGCGCTTAAACGTGATTCATGTAAGTTGATTTTTCTGAGAAATAAACTTTTTTAATGTAATATAAATTGGCATGTTTGTGTACGATAGCGCATTAAATAAATATTGTATTCTACCACATATATGATAGTACTTTTATACTGATAATTAAAGCAATTCGTGCAAAATTATTCCCTAACCATTCCAAAATATCAAAAATGCACAACGTTAATATTCAAGTTTTCATTTCTACTGGCACTACCGGAGTGCAACCCGTCGTTTTTTTTTATTTGAATAGAGTTTCTACCATAGTTTAGAGACATAGTATCACCACATGAGTATTGCGTCCCATTGCCTAGCCTGACCATCCACTACCCCGCGGAGTACATGTTTGTACGCTAGCCACCGACAGAAACACACACTGGACTTTAATGCTCTGATTCAATCGGAAAATCCTATATGCACTCTTCGTCGTAATAATAAAAGTAATTTCATTTACAAAATGTAATTAACATTATATCTAGGGCCATTTTTAATAGTATCATCTATCATCATAATTAAAGAGACCATCATCTCGAAAACCCTTAGTCAACCTCAGTAAAGTAAAATCCATTAATCATGTTATGAGACGTCTTTGATCTACATAACTGATGGGTTTGTCGACCTATTCTGTGTGTCGGCTTAAAGAGAAATATTATGCTGACCTGTGAAAACATCAAAAGTCAGTCAGTCAGCGTGTTAACATCACTAATGCCCTTAACCACTACTACATATTAGGATAATGGGGCCCTTATGAGTTTGATGTGGATTATGACTTGAAATGGAGCGAGTCGTACTGATGAATGTACTACCGATGATTTTTCTTTAAAATGTGTATGTGCTTAGTATAACATTATATGTATATTTAAATTTATCTAAGCATGCTGAAGTCGGAAAGCCTAATTTTTGGGCGAGAGTAGAATAGCTTCTCTTATAAAAAAGCTAGTAAGTTGGTATTGTAGTCAGTAATTTAGGTTTCATCGAATTATGTAAGTTTATTTGGTAATAGATATTGGTTATCGTTTGGTGATCTGACAGGAACTAGGGACTTTGTATTTGATCTAAGGGAGGCTCCTATCGATCGAGGGGCCTTGGGCACTTGCCCAAAGTGCCCACTGGGAAAGAGGGGTCTGATGGCATTGATAAGTAGGAAAACGTTGGCCGGAAACAAGATGACAGGGTGAGGTAGTAGGCAATTTATTACTTACAACACAGAATACAGAAAGACGTTAAAAGGTTGCTCATAAACCGTTTGTACGGGAACCGATGGCGCCGGCTCGCCCCCACTACACTTCCACCTAATAGATAATAGCGAATCAGAGGAGACGACATCAAACAATCGGCCCAATCAGTGCTCATACCCGAGAGCAATGACGCAATCAGAACCAAGTTTTGTTCAAATTATAAGCATTTTCTCTCACATAACTGTGGCGTGGCTGCCTCGCCCACAAAGCCCTTCTAACCTCTTTATGATTTCTGTAACTTACAACAAATCCTGTAACGTGATTCTGTTATACTAATTTTGAGGTTCACCAAACGTGTCCAGTCTCCTGTGTCGAGTTGGTCGGGTTATTACGAGACAAAATGTGTCAATGTCTGTTTAATTAGCCTGTTATAGATATATATCATTTGTCTAACATTTATAGATACTATTCGAGAAAAATAAAGGCAAACAAAGTCAAAGTCAAACTTATATTGCATATCGTAATTGTACAAAAGATATAGTAGTAAAGTAGGTATCTCTTATCTATTAGACAAGTCCGTCCGTCCGTCCGTCCGTCCGTGGTGCTGTTTCAGCGGCCAAACCGTAAGAGATAGATATAGAGAATGTTTAAGTTATAAGTTAAGAATAGTCTGATAAGACTACAAACCGGATGTGAGTAACGTAGCACTTCCGGTTTTCGAGAAATCACGTGATTTCTATTTCAAACGAAACCACACAAAATCTCCGAAGTTCTCAATTAATTAAATACTTTTTTTTTTTTTTGGTGAACATTTGGTTCACAGGTTTGCTAGTATAATATAATCCCCCAAATTATGTTCCCCATTTGGGCATAGCAAAAATAAATTGTATTAGCGTGCAACGGACATTCAATAATAATAATTTTAAATAATGGATTATTATAAATTAATCCCAATTTTACTTCTTTATTACTACTGTTAAAGGAGATTGCTCAGCTTCCATACATGTTTGGCCTAAAGACCAATAATCATGAAAAATTGTTTCCTAGATTCGAAATAATATATAAATTACTGTAGAAACGAATATTATTGACGGACACCCCTGAGAACTTCTATAAACCATATACACTGAACATATTAAAATAACAAAAAACAAATAAGTTATATAGTAAACTAAGGAAATCAAGCCAAGTACCGAAATTATGGATTAGATTCAGGTATATAGAGCATGAAGATTAACAGATAGTTGCCTGTTTTTAAAGTTAATGCATAAGAGTAACTTTTAAAATCAGGTGGCATCTATGCATTTCCGGTTATAATAGGGTACTCTGTGACAGAAACTGTGTAATGATTGTGAATGAGCCACAGATTAGAGAGAATTTTTAAACTCTCGTTAACCAAAGAAAGCTGATTTAGAGATTTAGATATTCAGTAGCTTCATTATTTTTGTTATGTTTTTAATATAACCATATTTAGATTTTTAGTGTATCACACCTTATAATTTTATTTATTTATTAATTTATAGTCAGGCAACGTAGGCCCATAGATAGATACCTTAAAGTTAACATATATACAGATTATAATGTGTTTTTGGAGGTGTTTGGTGAAAAATGTATGGCAATAGACTTTATGATGTCGCCTACCAGCTATAATAATTGTCTGAGCACATTTGCATGTAGTGAAAAAGATAATATAGTTGTGGATATTAATACCACATTGTAATAAAGAAATGATTTATTTTATCGATCTTTACAAAATAGATTTGTTTTGATGTTATATAAAAAACTTCGATCAGTCCTTGGCTGAATGTTACTACACCCATAGCCATTAAAAACGATTCGTATGTTTTCCAAACCGGTAAAATTAAAAGTCCTTTTTAAAGTGAATATATTATACAAAGGTGTCCGTTGAAATCTAATAACTGTAAATTAAATTATAAATTACGCCAAGAATTACCGTGTATGACAATATTTTTGTGAATTTGGGCCAATTTGAGCAATCTCCTTTGTATATTTTTAAATTATTTTTCTTTTATTATGAATTATTTAAGTTAATATAAATTTCTCACTATTGTATTCATTTGAAGAATAATAGCACTTTTTTAGCAGCAAATACATTAACTTAGGAACTAGCTGACACCGCTGGTAGCATATTCTATACTTTATAGTAAAAGCTAAGAAGCTTTCGTCGTGGTTGGCAAGCATGTGGTTATTGAAAGAGCCCAAACTCATTCGTGCTACGTAAGAAAATGTTTATTATGGCTTCATCTGCAAGAGTTAGCGGCTACACACCTGTATTTTGGAAGCATAGCGGTATATCGACCGCTTACCCGTTCTACCTTGGAGGAGCTCGATGGCGCAAGTGGTTAGCGCGTTCGGCTGCGATCGTTGAACTTAAGCAACTTTCGCAGTGGTCGGTCATTGGATGGGTGACCAAAAATTACTATCTCGAGCTCCCCCGTGCTTCGGAAGGCACGTTAAGCCGTTGGTACCGGCTGCATTTGCAGTCGTTAGCACCCACCAATCCGCACTGGGCCCGCGTGGAGGGTCATGGCCCAATCTCCCTATTCCATCCATAGAGAAGGCCTGTGCCCCAGCAGTGGGAACATTAATAGGCTGATGATGATGAACCATTCTACCAAGTCAAAAGACTAGAAAAAAATAGTCAGCAATTAGTACAAATGCAAACTTAGTATCTATCATTTAAAAGACACGAATAGCAAATTGTCCTGATGTTCTTATTCGGTTTATTTGGAAGGAATACGCCCTGCGCATTAGAAGACTGATGAAAACGAAAACTATAAAGAAACTTTTTCCTCCACAGCCTCAAGCTCAAGGTCGTGGCTTCCTCGACTGGCTCGGTTTTGGTGAGGACCAGGACCCATACATCCAGCAGGCCACGCAGCAATGCATCAACGGTGACCTGGCCGACTGCTTCAAAGCTCAAGCGTTGAGGTCCTTCGACGACTTCTTCGATAAACAAGCGTATTCGTAAGTGTTTATAAGTTTCATTTTCCAACAACTTAGTACCTCTAAAGCTGCATTCCCAGTAGAGACTGCCTCAGGTCGAGGCGATACTAAACAGCAACTCCAGTGGAGACGTCTCCGCAGGCTAACACTTGCTATAATGCAGCGAAATAAATGTGACACTCTTTCGATGAGAACCTTTCTTTGACGTTTCGCAGAAAAAGTTTAAAACAACATTGTTTGAGCTGCTCGATTCTCATTGATTCTCATTAATTATCATTAATTCCGCATTATTATAGTTATTATTATTATTTTTTGTATCAATTCGACATTACATTATTATTATTTGCATCAATTTGACATACATTTTTAATTTTAAATCAAACATTGATTGTTAATTGCACAATTTTGTATTGATTATTCATTGATTTATTGATTATTAATTCCATTTATTATTATTGATTATTAATTACATTGCACTTTTCTGAATTGAATGTTGTGTGTGCTTGTAAAGGCTTGCTTATATGTCTTAGAATAAGTATTATTTTAATTTTTTAATGTTTTTATATGTTTAGCTGTAAGTATACCTATTAAATAAATAAATAAATATTAGTCGGTGCTTTAAGGCACCTCAGTGCATACATTATTGCTCGATTGGAGTTGCAGATATAAACTGAACTGTTTTGAATGATTTTATGATTTATTTATTTCTTTCACAAAGTCACAAAGTAACATTATAATTACAAAAGGGTATTGAATTACAATAACGGTAAAACAATGCAGTTCTTTGAGAGAGAGAGAGTTTTAATTTTAACACGTAACGCCACATCTCAAATAGACACTGGTGTCAATTCTGCCACGTTTCTCTAAACTTAAACTTAAATTTGACAAAAGTGTATCCTTGTCATTCTCATTACGGAATGAAAAGGAGAGACTGATGTTAAATTTAGCTTTAAGTTTAGAGAAACACGCCAGAATCGAAACCACTATCCTCCTTATTAATAAACAAGGAGTGAGCTTAGACTAATTACGCCGTGTTTTGTTCGTGTCACTCAAATGCCATTTGTATTTCAATAGAGGAGCTCGATGGCGCAGGTGGCTAGCGCGTTCGGCTGCGATCGTTGAAGTTAAGCAACTTTCGCAGTGGTCGGTCATTGGATGGGTGACCAAAAATTTACTATCTCGAGCTCCTCCGTGTTTCGGAAGGCACTTTAAGCCGTTGGTCCCGGCTGCATTTGCAGTCGTTAGCACCCACCAATCCGCACTGGGCCCGCGTGGTGGTTCATGGCCCAACCTCCCTATTCCATCCATAGGGAAGGCCTGTGCCCCAGCAGTGGGGACATTAATAGGCTGATGATGATGATTTCAATAGACAGCTACAAAACATGGAGTAATTAATCCAAACGTAGTCTTCGTTTATTAATAAGAGGGTGTAGGTACTAATATATCTATGAATGCATTTTGTTTACTATTGGCCCTGTTATTCATGGCAAAACCAACAGCACAAAAAACAAACTGCTTGAGTCTGTATATTGTTGAAGAAAGGTTTAACCTAAAGCAATTGTTATATAGTTGTTGAAGTTAAACTTAACAAATATCAATAACAAAAAAAAAACAAAACGATGACAATATTTTTTATACCTACTTTAAAGAAGCATATTTAGAAACAAGTCATTTATACCCATGTCCCTAATAGTGAATATTGCAACCAGGCTTTCTGAAAACGCAGTCCTGGTTAAAGTGGAGCAACAGGCGAGAGCCCTGGTGCACGAGCCGCCGACCCTCAGCTCGCAACCACGCAGTGAGGACTCCGACTGGGACTCTCTGGTCAAGTACGGCATGAGGAAGATAGAGAGGTTAGTCAAATAAACAAATGTTTCAACACTAACAACAATGCGCTGGTTCACGACCCGTCCCTCAGCTCGCAGCCTCGCAGCGAGGACTCCGACTGGGACTCCCTGGTCAAGTACGGCATGAGGAAGATAGAGAGGTTAGTCAAATAAACAAATGTTTCCAACACTAACAACAATGCGCTGGTTCACGACCCGCCCCTCAGCTCGCAGCCTCGCAGCGAGGACTCCGACTAGGACTCCCTGGTCAAGTACGGCATGAGGAAGATAGAGAGGTTAGTCAAATAAACAAATGTTTCCAACACTCACAACAATGCGCTAGTGCTTGCGGCCACGCAGCGAGAACTCCGGCTGGGACTCCTTGGTCAAGTACGGCATGAGAAAGATACAGAAGTTAGTCAAATAAACAAATGTTTAAAACATTCACAACTTGCGAAATGCAGGAGCTCGATGGCGCAGGAGGTTAGCGCGTTCGGCTGCGATCGTTGTGGTTAAGCAACTTTCGCAGTGGTCGGTCATTGGATGGGTGACCAAAAATTTCTATCTCGAGTTCCTCCATGCTTCGGAAGGCACGTTAAGCCGTTGGTCCCGGTTGCATCTGCAGTCGTTAGCACCCGCCAATCCGCACTTGGCGCGTGGTGGGTCATTTCCCAATCTCCCTATTCCATCCATAGGGAAGGCCTGTGCCCCAGCAGTGGGGACATAAAGAGGCTGATGATGATTAAAATTGTGCTTTGAGGATAATAGGATAAGTGGTAGTAATACTTAATAGTGATGCAGAATATTAGTATATTTTTAGAAATATGTATAATATAAAAAATTATAATATGAAAACAATGTTATAGATGCGAAAATATGTATAGATATTTATTAATCTTTCAAGCCAAACGGTTGAAACTGATCTGGATGAAATTTAGCACGCATATATTTTATCACCTATCAGACCAACAAAAGAATACTTTTTATCCTAGAAAAATATGAGACTCCTGTGATATTCTCAAAAAACTAATGTTTACGCGGACGAAGTCGCAGGTGGCCACTAGTAATATTATAAATGTTAAAGTATATTATGTTTGTTAATCAATCACGCAAAAATGCCTGAAAGGAATTAGAAGAAAACCGGCACTTATATAAAATTTACTAGCAAACCAGTGAACCAAATGTTCACCAAAACCTGATTTCTCGAAAACCGGAAGTGCTACGATACTCAAATCCGGTTTGTATTCTTAACTTATAACTTAAACATTCTCTTTATCTATCTCTTACGGTTTGGCCGCTGAAACAGCACCACAGACAGACGGACGACGGACTTGTCTAATAGATAAGAGATGATCAGCAGTGCCATTCCGCAAAAAAACCCACGCACGGATCGTTACAGAATTACACTGCTGGAATGAGACATATGATACTCCTGATTCCGAAACATTGTTTCCTATGGGACTTCAAAAACACTCACCGTAACGCGGACGAAGTCAAAGGCTTAAGCTAGTACACTACACACCTTTATATTTATTTGCATTCATAAATATAATCACTCACACACACGCGTACATACACACAGAAATACACATCGCACAAACTACGGACACAATGCCAGGTAATATTTTCGTCATTTTTTTTTAGTTAAAGTTTTAGTATTTCTTTAGAACACTTATTAAGGATGTCCTCTGGTAGTTAATTTAAAAAAGTTGGAATAAGCCATTTTCTCATACGTTTACCGTAATAATTAGTGTATGTTGGTACTTTATATTTATTTTTACATGCCACCTGACGAGTTGGGTTCCAATAGACATTTTCTATTTTATTTTCTCCAAATACGTATTGTTCTAGTATTATCATCATTTTTACTTTATACTCCACTGGGACAATTTTACATATTTTACCAAGTTATGCCATTCAGTGTATCCAAAAATGCGGTCACAAAACATTTTCTTTATTAAATTGCATTTAGGTACTTCCGATATTAAATTCTGCCTCCGAAATTCCAAATATGTGTTTTAATATAAATTGTGCCATATCAAAAATCTGTGCCACTGTTTTTGCCAGTTCCGACGAAAAGCTCGTTTATGGATGCGTTATTGCAGCTGACTTAATTTTATTGCCATCACTATAAAACGTGTATTCCGCGTAAATTAAATACTGTAGTGTTGACAGGGGTTGCTTTCCAATTACAGCATTATTGCGCATTATGCGGCATAATGCTTAACGTTGAGTGTTCCAACTACAGCAACGCTTCGCACAATTGAGCACTCTCAAAAGTGATGCTTTCGTGTGATGCGTGCAATGGTACCAACTTAGAGACAGAAAATTAACAAGTGTTTTTTCTTTAAGTTGGCATTGATCGAAATGTTTTATTTATATGTTATCGTTAGTAATATTATTTATTGTTGAAAAATTATTAAAGCTTTCGTTTCAATAAATAGTTTTTTTTTAAATAATCAAAGTTCATTCAAACTGTTAAAAAATAAATATAAGTATGGATGAAGGTACAAACATTGACTTTTTTTTTCAACACTGAACTTAGCGCACTCTGCTGGTGCATTTGAAAACTAATTCACGTTCCAATTAAGCATCAGCATAATTGGGCATTGTGCGGCACTGAGTCGCATTATGCTCTGTAATTGGAAAGCATACAGAGACGCGATGTTTTTTCCATAGAAAAGTTCTCAACTGATACCTCCTTGATTTTTATCACTAAAGAAATGATTTTCACACATAAAGAAAAATTTTACTCATTATTTACTCCTACGAGTATGACTTATTTTATTCGATAACTTTTTAAAGAAGCGCAAAAATATGTTTATATATTTTGTTCTAAATTGTGGATAATGAAGTTGGTCGTACAATAATTTAAAGTGTCACCTGTATTACAATACTATTTGTCTAAGGAGAATTGTACCATTGTTTTTTGTCCTGAATAAAATAAAATAAAATAAACTTGTACTTCAAATAAACTAGAAGCCCTCATAAATGCAAAATTATATTTATTTTATACAGTGGTGACTAAAGACGTCTAGTGTGAGGGTTCAATAAGCATTTACAAAAAAAAGCAAAACACAGAGGCATAGTATAACGACTTATTATTCTTTATGTAAAATTCCTTTTACATATATTTAAATTTCGAGGAGGAATATGTCGAGATCCAAACTTTGAAATTTTTATACGCAATATTCATCTACTTTATTGAGTTTCTTTCTAGTTTTGTGATTGTAAATATTCTATTTTATATGTAATAAAAAATTAATTAGGAAGTGTTCAATAAAAAATGTTATTTTTAGGTAATATTTAATAAAAAAAATGATTTGAGACAGAAAAATATTTACGCCTCGACTGAAACGTACGAAAAGCTTTATAATTAAATTTAATAGTGTGTTATGTTTTTTTTTAAACGATATCTGGAATATTTCCTGAATTTTTTCTACATATTCCAAGAAATCATTACTAAAACTATTAAAAAATGGTTGCCTGTAAAGTCGGTTTTACGGGCGAAGATTTTACGTGACAACGTCTTTTTCTCGGTAGAATATTTATTGATATGAATATAATTAAATTGCACAATAGGAACAAGGAATTGAATGAAAATAAGAATTGCACAAATTTTAACTATAGAAATATATTTTGTTTACTAAAACATTGTACATGTAAACTTAAACTTAACACGAGAGACTCATCGTAACGTTACCGAGCGTTACACTTTTTCATAAGTGACTCCCAGCCGCAACCTAATTTAAGACGTTGTCACGTCAAAAAGTTTTTAAATTATCCTTACTATAGTGTAGGTATCTACTTAATTCAATCAAATATTCACAATACAAATCGCACGTTTAAGCACGGCTAACTGCATAAAAAACAATTCACACCGTACGATCGTGGTGGCGGCGCATTCGCGACTAGATGCACACCGAGAGTCGCGCGAACTCGAGTGGCGTAGGTATGACACGCTTTCCGACTGTTTGTATGAAGATAGAATACTGTATAGATAATATTACCGTGCTACTGTTGTCCCTTTCGCACGGTATTTGCCAATGCGCGACAGCAATAGTTTTTTCAAATACCTATTTCTCAAATGTCTCTCAGCTCGCGTCCGCTCTTAACCATCTTTCAGCAAATAAAACTTGACAAGATACAATTTAGCTTTTGTATTACCTACCACAAAATAGTTTTACTGTACAACACACGACATATTTTACCCGCGCCAACGCGCCTCCGATTCCTCCCACACAGGCCACAAATATCAACACTACACAGCTAGCAAACGTGCACACTAGCTTAGCATTAGGCGGACACCGCACCCGTAGGATAAGAGTGCGAAGACCCGGTCTACACACGATATGCTATACCAGGTACAGGTACGTACCTGGGCGTTTTTCTCCGCCCCCCACAACAACGGCTAACTAGAGCTGAGGTCCGAGTCTCAGAGACGCCCTCTAGTTGAGCCGACCCCCTCAGGTTCGAGTGGTCTAGAGGCTCCAGACGGAGAGGAGACTCCCCCCGAGGGGAGACGCCATCCGCCTGGGATACCTCTAGTGGCACTCGCCAATTCTCGGCTTGAGGTCCCCTTAGGAACTCGCCGTCCCCAAACCCGGTGACGCTGTAAAGGTTATCTGCGACCAACAGCATACACACTCAAAAAAAAGACATATTTTATGAAAACAGGAGAAGTCTAAAAGACTTGTTGAAAAATATACCAACCGAATTGAGTGAAAACGTCCTCCTTTTCGAAGTCGGTTAATAAAACTAACGAAGTCCTTCAATATTTATCAGTTGTCGTTTATAGTCGTCTAAAAAAATCTGATGCATACATTGATAACCTGCTAATTTTTTCAGCAAAAAGCAATTGTAACACCGCATAGACAATAAATTATTTCTCCAAACGTCATTCGCTGAAATTTTCACTGAGAATTTTAGCGATCGTCGAAATCAGCTAGCTTTTTAACATTGAAATTATTTTTTCGTTCGCTGCAAAATATTAATTAAGTATTAAATTTGAACCAGACCTGTAAATG